GGATGGTGTAGTTTTGTTGTGGCTGTTCATATAAAACCGCAGTTGCAGGGCTTCCACGCAGTGGGTTTCACACACACACACACACACACACACACACAAGAAACAGGACCCCACCATACTCAGGATGTGGGAGAAGGAGCTCCACGTGGAGAAGAAGGAAACAGCCGCCGATGAGCCTTCTCCCCCGGCACCGACGGCAAGGCCTGCACAGCTCCCAGCCGCCAGGCCTGCCAAACCTTCTCCCCCACCCCCCGCTACTGATGGCAAGGCCCATGCAGCTCCCAGCTGTTGGGTTTGCCAAGCCTTCTCCACCGGCACCGACAGCAAGGCCGAGGCCCACCGAGCCTCCTCCCAGCCGCCAGGCCCCAAGCCTTCTTTCCCACCACCCCCAATGGCAGGCATGCACAGTTTCTAGAGCATTCTCTGCGCATGCACAGGGAACGCTCTTTTACTTTTGGGGGGATTTAAATTTCCCCCCCCCCCTATATTGTGCAGGAAAATCTCTTTGCCCCCTAGGTGCCCCAGATTTGCGGATTTAGATATCTGCACACAGAGAGGACCTTGGCTATTGGCTATATAGATATATTTAATCATTGATTTAATAGTGTTATATTGATACATGTTTGTACCAAAATGTGCTTCAGGTTCTCAGAATCCCCAGCTTTCGCTTGTCAAAAAAGGCAAGTCTGTAGCCTATTTCCTTGCAGAGATATGAAAGAAAGAAAGAAAGAAAGAAAGAAAGAAAGAAAGAAAGAAAGAAAGAAAGAAAGAAAGAAAGAAAGAAAGAAAGAAAGAAAGAAAAGCTTATCTCTGCAAAGAATGGGGCTAGATATTTACTACCTTAATACAAAAACAGAACTCAAAGAACTTGATGCATATTTTACTATAACACAAGCGTCCCCGGGGGTGTGGCATCGGCGCGGAAGATGGCGGACGCCTAATCCACTCGTTCCGGACCCTCCCCTCCCTCCCTCAACCATAGCGATAAAACACTCACCAAAAAAGGCCTTTTAGGACATGTGAAAGTCTGGGTGAACAAAGAAGGCAGTGAAAGGTACCATTAAAAACTTTCTTCTTTTTTTTTAATAATTATTTTTATTTGATTTCCACACACAAAACAAAACATCCCCACTGAATTGCAGTCAGTGGAGTACAAATATACACACCTAAACAATGACATCAAATCAACACATACACAGACATACAAACTAACCTATCCACCCACACCCTACCATCTCTAATTTCCCCCCATCACCAATATCGGTTTAAATGCAAATTCATGCTCAGTACAATTTCCTATTGACCATTACCTAATACTTAGCACAAATTCTTATTTACCTTTCATCCAGCAATTAATGACCTTACTCATTTAAATCCATTCAGTCTGGATTTAAGGAAAATAAAAAACGTACTGGAAATACCGATACCTCTTTTTAACATATAGCAAGTTAATCTAAACTTAATTCACCTTTCCAATTATTTATACCATACTTCAAACGACAGTGACCCTTCAGGTATAATAGCTCCCAATTTTAGTTGTATACCATTCAGGTCTTAATCACACAATAAATTTTCCAACAGTTAACAGTTTTATCTTAAACCCAGCTTAACCTTCATCCTACTCCTACTTAAGATAGACCACTCTATTAATTTTCAACTGGGCCCATTTTCTTAAACAAGAAACAGTTCTAATGCAACATA